GCTTGTAAAGCCGTGCCAGGGGTCCTGCAATGACCTCAGCCAATTCCCTCAGCACTCAGGGGTGGAGATCTTCCAGACCAGCTGATTTAAATACATCCAGTCCCTCCAGACGTTCCCTGACTAGATCCTCGCTGACCCTTGGCCTAGGTGCACCTCTCCATGGGGCCTGAGGGGAGCCCAGTGTGGGGGCTGATCTGGTCCCTGCTCAGGAAAATGGAGGCAAAGAAGTCGTTAAAGAAGTTAGCTTTGTTGTCTGGTGTGACGACCAAATTTCCTAGCGTGTCTTGCAGGGGCCCCACGTTACCTGGTTTTGCCCAAAATGAATGAAGAAGAGATCAGAGAATAAAAGCCAACCAACTCTTTAGAACTTCTGCAAAGCTTCATGTTGAGTGCACTGTTAATGTTGCTTTACCCATGCTTACTTGCCCTTCTTTAAATGATGCATTTTCCCTTTTCCTCCCCAAAGACATGGTTCGTTCTCAACTCTTGCATCTCAGCCAGGTTTATGGAGGCAGAACTGTTTTCCTACCTGTTCATTGGTTGTGCGCCCTCGGGCCACTAGGACGATATGGAAACCTGTGAGACCAATGACTGGAATAAAGAACAGTCCAGCAACACACATGACAGCCATACTGCATCACAGAGTTAAGGAAATTGTAGCCAGTGAAGGGAAAAAGCAGGGGTGGGGACTGGAAGAATGTAAGAGAAAAAGATAATTTCTTGAACTGGAAACTCAGGGTAATTCTCACCCTTATCTAGTGTTTTTTCTCACACATTCAAGTATATTGTGGAATTAAGAACTAGACGTTTTGTAAAAGTTATTTCCCACTGGCAGTGCTGTTAGGTTCTCATTTGACGTGAGCCCTAATGCTGCCTGGTCTTTAGTGGCCAACAACATATTAAACAGTTGGAAACAAAGTACTTGCACCTCTTTTACCACCATGTGTGTTGTGTTTCTTCCTTTCTCTGGTTTCTAGTAAATTCTCTAGTACAAACAGCCCATTCCTTTGCAGTCACCTGGGAATGGCGGAGCCCCACAGCACCAAGGTGGAGGCATAGCAATAATCTCTGTTGCCCCTCTCTCCAAGCAGTTCTCTCACTTGAAATTGCAGTCCAGATCTTACAGCATGTGTGTGTGGCACTGTGAAAAATATGCACGGCCAGGCAATTATGACTGCTTATTGGCTTGGGCCAAATTCATGCAAGGTCCAAGCTAGTGTAAATACACAAATATCACCAGTGTGGCAAATTTATACCAGCTACGAATCTAGCCTGTGGTGTATAGTCATGAAACCGCAGGTGCTCAGATTATATTCCTCTCCACTGGAGAAGTGGCCCCCTCACTTAGCATTTTGAGATGCAGAGATTCATCTTGAAGTCTTTTCAGCAAGTCTAAATGTTATGTCCTAGCCTTTAACTTCTTAAGAAGCCACTGGTGAGTGTTTTTAATATAATAAAACCATTTCCAGGCATGCTGTTAAAATCCCTGCATTGTGCAATATGCTGTCGGTCGACTGACTCAGCCCGTACAGAAAATTCTTCTGGAAACCTTGGCAAAATTCCTAGTTCAAACCACTGGGTCAAAAGGAGCAAACAGTCATTTGACAAGGAGTGTCTGGATTCCTAGACATGCAGAGCCAGAATGCTAGGCTCTGGCAGGCCATGGAAAATTACCATGTCAGCCAGGTCAGTCAGCTCCACCTCCCAAATTACTGTGGCAGAAAACTCATAGGCTATTGTAGAAAAAGCACCCTTAGTATACTGGCCAGCGTGCCTCTGTCTATGGGCCTGATCTTTAAGAGATCTGAAAACACGTAGCTTCCACTGACTGAAATGATCAGGCTATATTATCTCAGCCCGCTAACTGGCTCCCTAAAATAGTCAGAGAAAGTGGGCGCATCTACACGAGCCGCCCATTGCACAGTTGTTACTGTGCTGTCATTTAGTACTTGCTCATAGAAATTGTGGGGCTGAGGGAAATCTGAGAGAGCTGACTGGGGCAAGATGCAGAGATGTGGTGCAGAGGTAGGGCAGCATTATGACGGCGCAGTAACTGCAGAACCATTGCCGCATGGTTTTTGCCCAACACTACTGCGCAGTAGCAATGAACTAACACTACTGCGCAACTGCTCATTACTACTGCGCAGTATTGTCACCGCACGGTTACAGTCCAGCAATGCTACTGCGCAGTAGCAACGAATTACAGCGCAGTCACTTGTTGCTACTACGCTATAGCATGACATTACTGCATAGTAGCGATGAGCTAATGCTACTGCTCAGTACCTTATTACTACTGTGCAATATTGTCACTGCACAGTTACAGCCCAGCAATGAAGCTACTGCACCGTAGCGTCTTGTGTAGATACATCCAGTGCAAAACAAGCAGCTTAGATGCCCTGTTTCGAGTTGTGATCTTTTTATAAAGACTGCCTCGCATTTCAAGTCAGTCAGAGTTGCTGGTAATCAACATTTCTAAGGATCTGATTTCACATGTGGTTAGAGAATAACTGAGAAGATTCTTCTGTCCTTCATTCATAATAACGTTGTTGATAAGCCCTTTGTGGTAGGTCTGCACCACACCAGCCCATAGCTCCTCACCAGCATCCCTCCCCCGTGTAACCCTGTTCCTTCACTTCAACTCAAAGGGATGTAAAATAATTGATTGAATATTGATAACCTTCACTCTAGTGGGATGACCCTCCTCACAGAATGATTGTCTAGATCCCACTTCCAATCCTAACCAACAGCATGGACCAAACTGAAACACTGGGCCTGATTCCAAACCCATTAAAGTTGATGGAAATATTTCTATCGACTTGAATGAAATTTGGATCTGGCCATTTACTTTTTGCCTTTAAAGACTGTCCCATGGTCACTTACTCCGTGGAGGTAATGTGCGTGTGTGTTTACAGTCTGGTTTCTGTAATTTGTCTGCGCCTGTGCCAGGGCCAGGCAGCTGGGAGCTGAACCCTTGCTGCCACCACCTGACCCAGGCTCACTCTTCCCAGCCACAGCTTCCAGCTGGTGGGAAGCTGTGCTGAAGCTAGGCAGGGGGGAGCTGCATCCACATTGCTGCTGCTGCGTCCTCCAGCTTCCTGCTCCCAGCTGCAGCACAACTCCCCACCACTGAGAAGCTGTGTCCATGCCACAGCTAGGTAGCAGAGGGACTAGGGGAAAACAGCAGCGGTGTGGGATCCATGCAGTCTGGCCTCAGGGTGGGATACCAAAGCCCTTTATAAAAGCCTATGTAATACATAGGGATCATAGATTTCATAGGCATTAGGGCTCGATGGGACCTCAGAAGATCATCAAGTCCAGCCCTCTGCCCAAGGGGCAGGAAATCAGCTAGGGTCAAAGGATCCCAGCAAGATAAGCATCCAAACATTTCTTAAAAAAGTGTCCAGAATAGGTGCTTGCACCACCTTTGGAGGCAGTCTGTTCCAAGCCTTGGGGACTCAGACAGTAAAGAAGTTTTTCCTTATGTCCAGCCTGAAACAGTCTTGGAGGAGTTTAAGACCATTGGACCTTGTAAGCTACCACCCCAATGCAAGCTCTGTGCATAACGCTCTGTAGCAGCTCTTTTAAACACAGTAATATTACTCAACAATACAGGCCAAGAAGAGTGGACCCCTATACAACTATAACTACAGGAATTTCAGTGAGGGAGGGAGTATGCTATTTTCTGGCATGGTAGCACTGGATAACAGAGATACTCAAAGGGCTGACTGCCATTTCAGAGGTAACTGATGTTTTCACAGGTCAGGCAAACAGGGGGGGAAGCTAGGCAGACAGTTACAACAGAAGAATGGTAGGAATTGGAGATCTCCTCAGTTCCTAAAAGGCAGGTGGTGCAGATCCTTTTTCATAGTTCCCATAAAGCACCTTGACATCTTACAGTTCAAACAGAAGGATACGTAATGGTGGTGTGAGCTGCCCCCAGCTTTTCCACATGGTTTAAAACAAAGATCAACCCAAAAGTGAACACTCCAACCATGTGCGTGCTTAAGGACAGCAAGAAGAGAAAAAAATATCGGTAGTTCCTCCGTCCTATGCAATTGTTCACCCATGGGCAGTGATGATCAAAATCCTTGTAAAGAGAAAGAGAGGGGGAATAATATCCGAGTAAAAAAAACCAAACCAGTGACTTAGAGACAAGTCTGAACCACAGTGCCGGAGCTATCCAAAACTTGTGAGCTTCAAGTCAGATCAAGTCAGAGTTGGAACTTCTCAATGAGTGCTGGCATGCACATGTATTCTTGCCATACGCCCTTTTTGATGGGCTGTCCCAAGGACTTCACTCAGGTAGGCCACAATATATGGAGAAGAGAATTTATTTTCCTCTCTGGCACTGACAAAGTCGCAGTCTATAATTATAAACCATAAGGTGTCACCATACACTGTAATGTCTCAAGCCTGTACTACCCCTGCCAGCTGCAAAATCCTTTCCATTGTTTTGTATAAAAAGACAAAATGCATCCAGAGTTTTTTACTGTAAGTTAATAATCTCTTGAAAAAGTATTGTTGACACATGGTTTTTGCCCAATGCTTTTGTGCAGTAGCAATGAGCTGACGCTACTGCACAGTAGCTCGTTACCACTGTGCAGTATTGTTACTGCCTGGCAATGCTACGGTTACTGCCCGGCAGCCAAAGGCCAGTCAAAGAAGAGAAACAAATCTGTAGGAAGCTCTGGATGACTTCAAAATGTAAATTCCCAATCTGAAATGCCCAATTTTTCCTGATCAATAGTTCAAGTGTGCCACCAAGTTGGATCTTCTTAAGGAGAGAAGTATAATGAGTATGAGTTGTACACCCATTTACAGCTCCTTTACACTGGGTTTTTATGGCGCTAGCTCCAGCGAGTCCAATGGGGTTGTGCCCCAACAGGGAAGTCAGAGCACAGTTGGGCCTGCAGTGAGCAAATCCATGCTGTTTTGCCCGTTTTGCAGCTGGGGTCATACACCCTTTACGCCTGTCAGTCGTGCCTTGGCTTTGCTGTGCAATGATATTGTATTTAAATAGATACTTTCTCCTGAAGACAAAGTGGTGTTTTTTCAATTAAGTTGTGATTTTGCAGTAAGTATATTGTACAGGAGAGAAGAATGTTTTAGAGCTCTCTCAAAGCACAGCAGAAAAAAAATAGACTGAGGCAATTTAGCCAAGACTGGTTCAGGCTCCGCATTTATAATTCAGAGCCGGTTACGTGCATCCCAAAATATCTGGAAATAAAGACCAATTTAAACCTCAGCTTCACAAACAAACAAACAAAAAAACCTCGTGCTTATTTTTTTGCTGTCACAGATTCATTTGCAGATCCAGCTGGCCACATAAGATTTTACGTCAATTGTTTTGCTTCATAAGTGACATGATGAAAACGAGCATCTCTCGAAAAACCTGGACACTTTGCACATCTCTGAATCAGAATCAGTCCAAATTCTTTAAAAAGGGAACTCAAAAGATTTCTATTGAGGCCATGAACTTTTATTGCAAGTTACAGCCTAAAAGTGAATTAAAAGACCCAAATTACTCTCTCTTCCTAAATGGGTCACATAATAGAAATGCCAATAGACTCGTCACCATAACCCTCTCTAGGCACTGCTGGAATGCGCAGGCTCTTTGAGAAGTAAGCGTCACAAGAATCAATATGCAACATAGCCTGGAACTGCAATTTATTGATTTGGGAGTCATTCATATTTCTGTTTATACTTCTCTGTACACAACCATGGTTTAATTACACAGCAAAAGGTTTCCTGCCAGCCAACCAGAACGGCAACCAAACCATCAGTAAAGCTATTTAGGATGGAGGCAGAAGAGTCCTGCTTTCTCACTGGCTTTTGAGGTCGAGGCCATTTGATTTGCAAGGGGAAGTTAATCCAGGATTCTCTCCCATTTTTCTCTCTTCCGAAAGAAGGTGCAAAACTCATGCTGCTATAGACCTTAGAGCTGCGTGAAACTTTAAGCATTTATGCTAGTTTCAGGGAATCTGTGGCTACACTAGGCCTATGGAAAATAAAATTTTTGCACAGAAATGTGGAAGAAAAAGGGATTTGACACTGAAGTTAAACATATAGCCTCACCTTCTGGTATTATACATTGTGAAACTTCATATTTTTAACTCAAAATGATGAGCTTGTCATCTAGTTTTCAAGTGAAAAATCTAGTTTTATCCAGCAGTCCACAGAGATCCAACAAGGTAGATGTCATAGCTGCTGACATCTTCGCAGTGACTCCAACTTCTTTCATTCCACATCCCCCCAGCTTCAGTGCCCTTCTGATGCTCACCATGATGGAGCACGAAAAGCTTGTCTGATTGTCTATTAATGGTTATTAGACACAGCCCAGCTAGAAGTTAAAAGACTGCTCCGCTGGAAGTATAAAATGACTATGTAGTCTAAGCCAGAATTGTCTTTTCTCACATGAACTGCTCTACTGCTTTCATTGCGACTGCTCCTCTGATGTAGGCAGGGAGGATTTGGCCCAATGTAATGTGCAGCGCATTTGGACTGATGACGATATTCACTCAGTGAGTTTAGCCCGCTGCTGATTAAGCATTCCCATCATTTTAACTGCAGGGGTGAATACATTTTTAAAGGTATTAAAGATTTAATCGTTCTGTTGAAAAAAAATGCTTTAGAGTAGAAACGAACCTTAAGAAGTGGAATGTGTAGCTTAGTGATAAAAATCTCCTGTGGTAATAAAAAAAAAAAAACACCACGGAAACAGTCCTCTGTATTTATGAGCTTGGGAGATGTTTATGGCCCAATATCACACTCCACTACTTTGGGGTTATTGTTTAAATATCCTGTGTGCTCCATCAAAGTCCTCAGATTTATCAACATATGTCAAAGCCTCATAATTTAGAGGAATTAGAAGCACGAATGAGGTCATGGCCAGGGGACTCATAACTGTAGTTCAGAAGCAGGCAGGCAGTATTTTAATTGATTTGAGACACAAGAGTTCAGATTTCAGCCTTTCTAAAAATTAACTTGCTGCTAAATGTATTCTGATTTACAAGGAGAGGAAAATGTTCCTTCTACTATTCAGGGCTGTATATTTAATTTGGAACAAACTGGTTCTTATGAAGGTGAGACTGATAAAGTCGAAGGATCAGGAATGGTGAAGTTGGCTTCCCTCACTTCTTTGAGCTTTGCCACTCCACTGCCACCTTTCCTGGTACCATTTCCAGCTTCACGAGTCTTCAGCACACCCAGGGCAGAGGTGCTCGGCCTTATCAAACTGCCCTGAGAACACATTGAGAAATGTCACCCGTGACAAGGCTGATGATACCAAACTCCAGAGCCAACCCTAGAGGGGTGCAGGGGCCAGGGCAAATCAGCCTGTGTGGGCCCCCCTTAACACTGTGCAGGGCCGTGGTACCCCCGCAAGGGGCGGGGGGGGGAAAGAGGTCTCCATGCTTCTTCTGCAGTGGAGGGCTGAGCCATGCGGACCCCGCATGATGGGCTACAGCTCCGCAGGGCCCCCCCAAAGCATGGGGCCTGGGATGGTCCCCCCAATTTGCCGTACCCTAGGGACGTCTCTGCTAAACTGTTTCACTGGAGACTAATAAATCAACATAGCTCCACTGGTGTCAATGCAGCTACAGCTGTTTGCACCCTCTAAAAATCTGGCCTTTTGACACTTAAGTTTTCAGAAAAGAAAGCCTGGGGACATAGCCCAGTTGTATCACCCAGCTGTTCAGAGCTCCACCATCCAAGCTCAAGCCAACAGACCAAGTAATCAAGAAACTTGTTACCTCAACACAGTTGTCGCAGACGCTGCAATGGGAGCAGCGTGGTGGGCGGTAGAAGTGGCAAGTGGCACACCATTTCATCCGTACTTGGATTCCTTTAATCTCCACGTTCTTGTAGAGCGGAGCTCGGAAATCGTCGTCTTTATCCTCATCTTCATCTGCTGCTCAGTGCAAAAATAGAAGGAAATACCAAGAGTGCAGGTTACTGATAAAAGCTGGAAGATCCAATCCCAGTGTTAAATATATGGATACTATGTGTTTTCAAATGCTTGTAAGAGACATAATGAGTTAGAGGACGGAAGCTCTGCCTGAAAAGCCTTCCCCGGTTGGAAAAAAGGATTAAGTGCTCTGGGCTTTAGTATCCGAGAGATTTGTCCCACAGGCACTTTGCTCCTGGGAAGGATGAAACAAGTGCCCTGTTATCTTCAAAGTAGGAACAGAGAACTGTAAATCATTTTGAGTACTTTGTTGTCTGAGGTGTGCTCTGTCCATTAGTAGACAAAATCAACTCTGTCCCCCACCAGCTTGGGCAATAAGCATTATGATGAAGGATGTTACGGGAAGATTGAATTAACTTAAAGACATTAAACCACACAAGATCTCCCTGAATAACTATATGCCGATTCAGGGCCATGCCAGAAACATGCTCCATTGAGGTAGCCCGCGATACCACTTAGATCCATGAACCCTTGCATGCAGAAACACCCACTGGTGCAATGGATAAACATTAGCAACAGACCAGGACAAATGCTCTTTCATTATAAAATAGTTTGAATTTTCTTGCTTTAGCAAAATTGCATGACTGGAATGATTGCAGCCCCCTGAAACAGCATGATCTAGTGATCTGAGCATGAGGCCGGGAGACAGGAAGCCTTAGGTTCTAGTTTCAACTGTGCCACTGATTCACTGTCTGGTCTGGGGCTAGTCAGTGAATATGTTTCCCCATTAATAAGATAGCCATAACAGAGCAGAATACTCTTATCTGAGACAACCTAGTGAGTGGTTTATCAACCCAAGTCGGCAGCTGCTTTGATTAAGAGAAGAGGCCACTTAGAAAGAAAAGCTAGTCTTGAACAGATTTAAAATATATTATACTAAAAATGCAAGAATGAGAACAATATTCAGAGCATTTAATCTTTTATTTCATATTTCTTTCATGTGAATTTGGCAACTTCTGTGTTAGACAGAGAAGATTGCAGAATTTCACATTTATTTAGCACTCTGGTTAAACATGGCATATAGTCACTTGGCTTTGGCTGAGTGACTTCCAGTTAGGAGAAATCTAGTAACAATGTCCCAGTTCAGAATTCTCCTGTATTTAACCTTCCCTAGAAAATGGGCCAAAAAAGTGGCCATCCCCATTAAAATGATCCTTTGTTCACTAAAATCAGTCTAAGTTTCTTCCCTGAATTTGATAAGATTTGGATAAGATCCAGTGACTACATTTACCTTGTGTGAGACTTCCAAAGATTCACATGTGTAAAGTGCTTTGAAGATGTACAGCAGGATTGGGTACTAGCATAAGTACTTATATAAATACCAGGTTTAGGCACCTAAATCCTGTGTAAACATGTTGGAAGGTATATGACACAGATTAAAATCAGAGGTGGGCAAAATGCAGCCCGGGGGCCAGATGTGGCCTGCCAGGCCATTCTATCCAGCCCACGGGGTCCCTAAAAAAATTTAGAAAATTAATATTTATCTGCCCTGACCCTCTGCGCAAAATAACTGCCCACCCCTGGATTAAATATACAGCAGTGACAAGCTCTGGAAGTGCTCAAACCACAGGTTCTCAGCAGGGGACAATGAACTGAGTCTGAAAACCAGGAAAAAATGTGGTAGTTGTAAAATAGACCTGTGTGAAGCGGCTAGTATTTGCTTCAGATTTGGCCAATTCGGGGGACAGTGATTTGATTTGATTTGAATCACCGTCCCGAATTGATTTGGCTAAATCTCCGAATCACACAGGCCCCATCCCCCACCCACTCCCAATGGCTGCCCTGCCTGCCCCAGCTTCTGGCTCTTTGAGGAAAAAAAAAAAAGCCCTCCACTCACCGGCTCCTGCCCAGCGGGGGGCGATCCCTGCTGCCTCCACTGTTCAATGCCATGTGGCGGGGGGAGCTCTGCCACAAGCCCTTTGATCCCTGCCCGCTGTCCCAGCCCCCCATGGCTGCCCCACCCACCCCAGCTCCCAGCCCTTTAAAAACAAACAAACAAAAACCCCCGGGCTCACCAGCTCTTTCCTGGTGGGGAGTGGGGACGGGGGACAATCCCTGCTGTCCCCCACTGCCACACGCAGCATGGTGGGATCTTCCATGAGCCCCCAGAAGCCCCAAGGCTGCTGCAGCAGCCGGTAAGTTCAGGGGTTTTGTTGGGTTTTTTTTAAAGGGCCAGGAGCTGGGGTGGGTGGGGCAGTCATGGGGGAGTGGGTAGGAGTCAGGGGGGCTAGGGAAGCATGCAGGTGATGGGGCCTG